ATTTTATAGATCAAGAAACTAAAATTTTTAGCAAGACTAAATAACTTGACCAAGGTAACACAGCTAGACAGAAAACCAATATTCAAATCCATTCTAAAATACTTCTTTGCCTAATGAGCCTTGAGTCTTCCCATTCTGATAAAAGAGTCCCTGCCGTAAAATAATCTTGTCTCATAGGTATTGCTTCTATTTCTGTGTCTTTGGTGTCAAATATTACATGTATTCAGTTTCACATATGGTAGATCAGGAAAATATCTACAGACATACTAAATGGCAACACATGTCAACATCGTATTTGGCAAGGTTCCTCACGATAATCTAGTGAAAGAATGGAGAAGTAAAAACTGAATATAGAAACAATTGTACAGGCTGGGCATGGTGGCTCACGCCTGTAATCCTAGCTCTCTGGGAGGCCAAAGCGGGAGGATCGTTTGAGCTCAGGAGTTACAGACCAACCTGAGCAAGAGCGAGACCCCGTCTCCACAAAAAATAGAAATATTAGCCAGACGTGGTGGCAGGCACTTGGAGTCCCAGCTACTTGAGAGGCTGAGGCAGGAGGATCAGTTGAGCCCAGGAGTTTGAGGTTGCTGTGAGATAGGCTGATACCACGCCACTCTAGCCAGGGTGACAGAGCAAGATGCCATCTCCAAAAAAAAAAAAACGAAAGAGAAAAGAAAGAAACAATTGTATGGATTACTGACCTGACAGAAGTATATAAAGATTAAAGATTATAGGATTAGAAGGTGAACCTGGTAGGAAGAATTAACCTAAACATCATAAAGTGCTGCTTAACTTTCTATCAACAGCATTTATGTACCTAAATGTCAAATATATAGATAACACAAAGTTAGAAAGGATAATAAATATTTTAGATCAGTATTTTCCCAAGTGTCCCAAGGAACTTAATAGGTGTTGTTTAAAGAAAAAGCTCCATTACAAGTTGGACCAATCAATTCTATATAGACAGAAAGTAACAGCTAGGCATGGTGGATTATGCCTGTAATCCTAGCAGTCTGGGAGGCTGAGGCGGGAGGATCCCTTGAGGTCAGGAGTTCGAGACCAGCCTCAGCAAGAGCAAGACCCTGTCTCTACTAAAAAATAGAAAGAAATTAGCTGGGCAACTAAAAAAAAAAATAGAAAAAATCAGGGGCGTGGTGGCTGAGGCAAGAGGATCGCCCAGGAGTTTGAGGTTGCTGTGAGCTAGGCTGACACCATGGCACTCTAGCCCGGGCAACAGAGTGAAACTCTGTCTCAAAAGAAAAAGAAAGAAAGTAGATTCGTGGTTGCCAGGGAATGGATGAGGATGGGGGTCTGGAGGGAAAGAATTAGGAGTGACTATTAACAAGTAGAGTGTTTCCTTTTGAGGTGAAGGAAATGTTCTGCAATTAGGGAGTGAGGATGGTTGCACCACATTGTGAATATACTGAAAACCACTGCATTGCACACTTTAATATGGGGAAGTTGATGTTATGTGAATTATAACCCAATAATAGTAAAGAAAAAAAAAAGGTTAAAAACCTAAAGAGAACAATTAACCAATCAAAGTTAAATAGGCTTTTTTCTTTCAAGAGAATTCATAGCCTTAAGTAAGCTAATGTTAAGCAATTTTAAGTCCAAGTTTATCCTGTGTCAGCTAAGAATAGTCCTAGTTTATAGCTGCTGTCTCTGCTTCATTATTAGTAGCACACCTCTCACTCCTAAAACTGTACAAACTTGGACATAAATTATATGATCACCCTACCTATGTACACCCAATCTCTAAGAACAGGATGGAGTTTCTCAGATACATCTGACCACTGCTATGGTTCCACAGAACATTCTTGAGGAAATGTTGCATTAGATGGCAGAATAAAGGTGCAAAGTCCTGGAAACCCATTATGTCTGAATTTTGAGTTGGGAAGACTAGAATTAATTCCCCATGAATGGAGAATGTGAATTCAAAAATATATTATTGAGAATTTTTATAATAATGTACTACCACTGTTACTATTATTCTAACAGGCACATTTGAAAAACATCCTTATTAAATGAATAATAAATCAAAGACTAGAAATCAAATAAAGACAAAATATAAGGCTTGCACATATCCCTTAAAAAATAAAAGCAAGCACAATATGAGGGAATCACATAGACTTGAGGGGCCTTTTAATTGACAATAAGTTTAATAAATCAATAGTGTGCTATGAATACTAAAAATGTTGTTATAATCTTAAGTTTAACAAACATATAATAGTATGCAGAATGAGAATTTCAATATTCCCATCCTACTGATCAGCCCATAGCTAAAATATCACATTCAGTTGTGAGAGACAGTGACGGAATGGAAAAAATACCAGCTTTGCAGTCAGAGAGACAGTCTTGGAATCACATCACGATTCCGGCATTAATAGCTCCGTGCCTACAGGTAACCCACTGAATCTCAGCTTTCTCGTCTATAAAATAGAGCAACGATACCTACATAGTTGAACTGCTGCCACATGTATGCAAGAACATCCACAAAAGTCCTTACAAACACAAAGGATGAGCTAAATTAAGTGTCAGCTGCTACTGTTACTGTTTTTAGTGCTGGTTTCTAACTCTCTTTATGTTTTCTGAATTATCAGAAAAAAAGTAACAAAATGCAAAATCAACACTTTCCTCACCTGTCTGCTACACTCCCTGGCTGTACTTCCTTCACGAAGATATCAACTTCTCTCAAATTTTGCCTTCTAAGGGCCACCACGCTGAATCCAAGGCCTCCAGTTGAAGGCCGTTCTATATCTATGTATTCAATTTGCCGGCCCTAATGAAGGGGGACAAAAAAAAAAATCAATAATGTACATTTAACCAACATACCCTTTCTGCAGAACTGAAATTGCTTAGCACAGAACAGCTTCTCCTAAGTCATCTCTCTAGAACCACATAAACTCAGCATTTCAGTAATAAATTATTGCTGGAAATCCTCTCACTTGATTATTTTCAGTAGAGCATAAGAGGCAGCGTGCAGTGTTCTGCAACCTCAGGGACTCAGAGGTATTTTCACACTTCATTCGCCTTATGAGATGAATCCCAAACTGGATGAAAACTCCTGAGAAAAATGCCTATTCCCACATTAAATTCTAAATTACTTTTTACATTGAATTTCCCTAAATTTTCTTGATGCAAAATATATTTTTAAATGATGAAAATAAATTAGATATATTAAAAATATTCTAGTTTTTAGCCTAAGTTAGAACTAGCTGCACTTTTTAGGATTCTTTTTTAATTCCATTGTGATGAATTAATATTCCTTTTATTCAGTCAATTCAAAAGACTGTGCAAAGGCCACCACTCAAATGGGTTCTACCTGTGGCAGCCAAGTATTTTATTGCTTTAGCTTACAACTGCATTTATAACAGGTCAATGTCATAAACAGAATCAATTAACAAAAGCATCGCATAGAAATAATTACTAGTCAAATGAAGGGGATAGAACTATAAAGTCAAAAAAGGAATTAGGTCCAGAACATTATTTAACTATCATACCTTAAAGAGATCATTTTTAACTTTCAGGCTCAAGTTTCATTTTCATTTTTAGTTGGGGAGGTGAACAAACACAAAACATATCCAAAAATTCAATTTTCGATTATTTAATTTTTAATAGGTATTGGGGCGACAACTGAAATACCCTTCTAAAGGTGTTTCTAGATTTTCCAAAGTATATCAGTTCTAAGTCCCATTAATCCTGCTTTGATATAAAATTTAAAAGTTTCCATTATGTTTTGTCACTTCTGGCAGACATTAATTTTCCTCCTGTGATCAAAACCAGTAAGAATCTCTTTCTTTACAAGGATAGATACATGTGTCCAATTGGAGTCAGTGTCTAAAAATGCTCCTTACCACATAGATGGATGTAATTTTAAGCCAATTACGTTTCCAGTATAGAAAATGGTGTCAATTCTCCCTATCAATATAAAAATATAAGCAAGAAAAATACACAGGAACACATTTTATGGCAAAAAGAATGAATATGGTTTTCTTTTTTAACCTAAAACAGGATAAATGAAACTAAATATTAACCATGACAAGATACAACTTTACCTGAGCCATCTGTAGAATGATTGCGTTAAAGTCTTCATTTCCCAACTTCGGGGTCCAAGACGATAACCCAGATACGGTCAAGTTATTAGAGGACCTGTTGGGATTTCCATTAATAATGGAACCATCTGTGAACACTAACAAACCTTTCCTAGAAAAATCGAAGTTGGTTGAACAATCCGAGGGTACATGGCTGAGCTATTGGAGAGAAAAACAAGAGAATCATTAACAAAAATCTATAGATAAGTAATTATTTCTATTTATTAAACATTATATTTTGCCTATTACATGTATAATTTACATGTTAAATATTAATATATACATGTGAAAAAATAAGGTGAAGATATATGAATCTATGTGTTCACAAGGCTCAAAGTTTTTTTTTTTTTTTTTGAGACAGAGTCTCACCGTGTTGCCCGGGCTAGAGTGCCGTGGCGTCATCCTAGCTCACAGCAACCTCAAACTCCTGGGCTCAAGCGATCCTCCTGCCTCAGCCTCCCGAGTAGCTGGGACTACAGGCATGCGCCACCATGCCCGGCTAATTTTGTCTACATATTTTTAGTTGTCCAATTAATTTCTTTCTATTTTTAGTAGAGATGGGGTCTCGCTCTTGCTCAGGCTGGTTTCGAACTCCTGAGCTCAAACAATCCGCCCGCCTCGGCCTCCCAGAGAGCTAGGATTACAGGCGTGAGCCACTGCGCCCGGCCTCAAAATTTTTTTTAATTTAGTATTACACAAAATAGTATTTAGCATTACAAAATACAAAATTTAGTGTTACAAAAATTTTAATAGCTTAAAATTTGTTCTTATTTCCTATCTCTTACTACTACCCCAGGTGAATAGCATCTACACTAATATCTCATTACACTTCATATATACAGATACCTTCAGTCATAGAAATGTGTAAGGCACTAAACTCCTTTGCATTAATCTTTATATTTCCATGTGGGGAGCCACAAAAGATGCACAGGTAGTATATAACAATAACAGTATTTACTGAGTGCTTGCTAAGACCTAAGTAATGTACCAAAACCCTTACGTGTATTATCACGGAATTCTTACAATAGTCTGATGAGATATCATTACCCTATTTTGTGAATGTGAAAACTGAGGCATACGGAGGTGAAGCAACGTGCCCAAGATTAGCAGCGAGAGAGTCGCAGAACCACTTAAACATTAGTAGAAAGGGGAATCCTGTAATTATGGGGAGCAGGATTTTTTAAATACCACTATAACTAACATAGCAGAATAAAGTTAACCTTAAGAACAAGTGTTAGTAGGACCTCACAGAAAAAATCAATACTCCCTGGCTACACAGATTTTACAGTTCAATGAATAAAATATGACTATGTATATAACAACTACAAACTATACAAACATTAAGGATTCTTATTATTATTATTACGGAGTGGTTAGTTAAATCCACTCTTAGTCTAGTAAGACCAACAGATCTGTACCCATCTTTGCCAATTTCAATTGCTACCAACAACATTCACTACTGCAATATGGGACTAATTCTATGACCACGGAATACAGAAAGCTGACCTTCAACATGTGGAATGCTAAAATTATGGTATAAATTCTGGTCTAAGCCAGGCACAGTAGCTCATGCATGTAATCCCAGCACTTTAGGAGACTGAGGCGGGAGGATTGCTTGAGGCCAGGAGTTTGAGACCAGCCTGGGCAATATAGTGAGACCCCTGTCTCCACAAAAAAATTTTTTTTAATTAGCCAGATGTGGTGACGCACACTTGTAGTCCCAGCTACTCAGGAGGCTGAATTGAGAGGATTGCTTGAGCCCAGGAGTTCAAGTTTGCAGTAAGCTATGATCATGCCACTGCACTCCATACTGGGCAACAGAGTGAGACCCTGTCTCAAAAAGAAAAATTCTAGTCTAAAGGAAAAATTCACAGAAAGACATATGTGTAGAGTTTAATCCTTAATTGGCTATAAACAAATCACTCACTAAATACTTAATAGGCAGGCATTTTGGTTTATCAGCAAAAAACTTTTTTCCCCAAATTTTGTTAATTTTATTAACAGCTCTGCTAGATTATCTCCAATACATTTACAATTCTGCCCAAATTTAATCTATAGTATAGATAATATTCAAGCTCAGCTTCCAGAAGTGATGATTTTAAAGGAATTTGCCATCTCTGACCCCAAAACATAGAACCCAAGAGGACAGTTAAAACTATTAATTTGCATCACTTTTATGTGTTTTTTATTAATAACTCCACACTATGTATTTAGAGCCTGCAGAGTCTAGGTAGTACGGTATATGCAGAAGAGGAAACACAGATAAATATTAAAACACCAAGTATACTACCTGCGAGGAACTTCTAATCAGAATATCCATGATAAGAGACAATAAATGTTTGAAAATTAAGAGATGTATGAATAATGTACTACAAGGGCACGATCACTTCTTGCTAAATAAGCACTCATAAGGAAAATATATTTACGTTAAGCACTATTTTATAATTTTGAAGAAAATGTTGAGAATTCTCAAAGTATCTGACCTTTACTTACTTACTTACTTTATGAATGAATGAACGACAGGGTCTCACTCTGTCGACCAGGCTGGAGTGCAATAGCACAATCATTGCTCACTGCAGCCTCAAACTTCTGGGCTCCAGGCAATCCTCCAACTTCAGCCTCCTGAGTAGGGGAGACTATAGGTGCATGCATGCCATCATACCCAGCTCATTTTTTTATTTTTTGTAGAGATTAAGTCTTGCTATGTTGCCCAGGCTGGTCTCAAACTCCTGGGCTCAAGCAATCCTCCCAAAGTGCTAGGAATACAGGTGTGAGCCACTGCCCCTGGCCTACATACTTAAATAAGAACAAAAACCATACTCCAAAGCCAAATACAAAATTTATTATCAACACTTTTAAACTATCCATGCCAGTGTTACCTACAGGTTACAGGTCCCAACACAGTCTCTTTGCTGAATTCAAAATCCTTAAAGATAATTTCTCTATCTCCTGTCTTTCTTTGCTGGTTTGAATACACCAACAGAAAACCCTGATGAGTAACTTACTTGCCCCTTCAGTTGCCTGATGGACTGCTGAAGTGTGAGTATCTGGTTGAACAGAGGACTCCTCAGTGTCTCATAAAACATAGATAGCTTCTCATTCTGCGACGTGTCTCCCTTCTCCTGCAATTTCATTTTCAGGCGATCAAGAACCTGCAGGACCTGCAGTTTGTCTTGGTTGAAGAAGGATAATCAGAGTAAGAGTTAAATCCCATCTTATATTCCATTTTTTAATCATGAATTAATTTAATGCTAGAACTGCATATTGAGTGTACCTATAGCAGGATTTTCTGGCATTTTGAATTATTCTCTTCAATCACTGTTAAAGAAACCTAGAGAAAAAATATAAAAATACAACAAAAATAAATGTTTGAGATGATAGATATGCTCATTACCCTGATCTGGTCTCTATATATTATATGTATCAAAATATCACTATGTACTTCCTAAATATGTAAAATTATTATGTGTCAATCTTAAAAACTTTAAAAAAACAAGATAAAATAAAATAGAATTCTATTAAATTAAAAAAACACAAAACCCAATTTCCAGTAGTGTATACATGTCTATAGTCCTATAGAAAAACTAAAGAAAACCTCATGGACATTCTTCATCAAAAGACTCCACTCCATGAAATTCAAATTAAAGCCACAATGCAATGCCCCTACACACCCACTAAGATGACTAAAATTAAAAAACAAAACAGACAATACTAAGTATTGACAAGGCTATGAAGCAACTGGAACTATCATACATTGCTAGTAGGAATGTAAAATGGCACAACCACTTTGGAAAATTGTTTAGCAATTTCTTATAAAGTTAAAAATATACTTACTATATGACCCAGCATTTTCACTGATACTTACCCAAGAAAAATGAAAATATATGCTCACAAAAAACCCTATAAAGGAAAGCTCATAGAGTTTTTATTTATAAAAGCCCCAAACTAGAAAAACTCAAATATCTAATAATAGATGAATAAACAAATAATGGTTCACAAATATAATATTCAAAAATAAAAGAAAAAATTACTGATACACAAAACAAGGATAAATCTCAAAAACGGTATGTTGAGAAAAAGAAACCTGACCCAATAAAATGATATAAACTGTATGATTCCATTCATACAAAGTTTAAGAAGTGACAAAACTAATCCACAATTATAGATTCATTCACCTGGGGCAGGTTGGAAGGGAGTTGACTGATAACAGGGTTCAGATCATGCTACCCCAAAATAGGGCACCTTGGCTTGTTGAATATTTTTAGCTGAAGGAATCTGAGAAACAGCAGATGCAGGAATGACTTCCCCTAAAGCAGATCATAAGATCTTCATCTGAAAAGTGCCCCCCCAATACCCAAAGGATAGGAGCATCTTTATTTCCAAAGACAGAGGGGCACCAACAGGAAATCTGAACAAACAGGCCTTTCCAAGTTTCCCCCAGTCATTACTCTTAGCTCACATCCCTTTTGTCCTATCACATTTTTCCACAACTCTCTACTCTTCATCAAACCTAGTATAAAACGCTCAGGTTTAACTGTTTCTTTGGGTCTTCATTTCCTTATGAAGGCTCCTGTGTCACATAAAACTTATATTAAATAAATGCATGTGTTTTGCTTTTGTTAATCTATCTTTTATTACGGGGCCCCAGGCAAGAACTTAGAGGAGCAGAAGGTGAAGATATTTTCCTACACTGGGAAGGGGTTCAAGGGAGCTTGCTGGAGTGATGGAAATGTTCAGTTTTGAAAGGGGTACTGTTTACACAGATGTATACATATATCAAAATGCGCTGAACTATATGTTTTAAATGAGTATATTTTATTGTATGTAAATTATACTTTAATAAAATAAAATTTTAAAAAGGATCCTGACCTGAAAAAGAACATCCAAATTAAGGGATCAAAAAGATTTTAGAGGAGATTAGAAAAATTCCCAAACTGCGCAAATGATCCCACTCTTACTAGTCATCTGCATCTCCAGAAGGAAATGATTCAATATGGCATTCTGTATGGATAATGTTTTTTAATTCCAGGAATTTGCTCAAATTCGCCTAAAATGTAATGTAATTGAAATACAAAAGGCCAACAAAATACTTTGCTATGACCAAAATGATACTTTTACAGTGGGCATTCTTACTAATGATACACTATTGTAATGAACCATCAAAGAAATGTATTATATAATCAAAACTTTTTCACATCAACCTGCATACAGTGAATGAGATCTTTATCTTCTAATTCAAGATCATTAGGCATGAAAGCACATTAAAAACCAACAAGGGATGTCATTGCATTGATAAAAGGTCCAAGTAGTCCATCCAAATGTTCACTGAATTCAATGGGAACTACCAAAAGAAGTGCTGAATAGAGCATCCCAGAAACACGGATATGCTCAGCATCTCAACTGTACAACCTTTACAACCACCCAGTGACAGGTAACTGTGAATAACAGAAGGGCAGTCACAAAGGTACTGTCCTCTCATATAGCAGCATATAGCCCAAAAGGATTGCAAGAGCAGCTTGGTTGTGATTAATACATCAACCTCTCTTACTCAAAGAACACAAGCTAAAACAATAAGATGCCATTTTTTACTATCAAATGTCAATCTGACATTTATTAATTTATTGGAGATTAATAATAGCCTATATTCCAGATGTCATGAAAAAATAGGTGGGAGTATAAATTTGCACAATCTTTCAGGAGGACAACTTAGCAGTATCTATCAATGTATCAATGTTAAATTTGCATTCTCTTTTACCCAGAATTTCTACTTCTGAGTCTCTCCTAAAGAAATACTTGCAAAAGGGCACAAAGCTGGTGTGCAAGGGCAGTTACTGCATGTTTAATAGCAAAACTCCTGGAAAAATTAAATTATCAAAAGCAATCCAGCCAGATGCAGTGGCTCACACCTATAATCCTCACATTTTGGGAGGCTGAGGTGGGAGGATAGCTTGAGCCCAGGAGTTCAAGACCAGCCTGAGCAATGTAGCAAGACCCTGTCTCTACAAAAAATAAGAAAAATGAGCCAGATGTGGTGGTGTGCACCTGTAGTCCCAGCCACTCGGGAGGCTGAGGCAGGAGGATCGCTTGAGCCCAGCAGTTTGAGGTTGCAGTGAGCTATGTGATGACTCCCACCACTGCGCTCCAGCCCTGGCAGCAGAGGGAGACTGTTTCAAAAAAAAAAAAAAATCCAATCAATCCTTAAAATAATAAAGCAGGTCTGAATGTACTGAAAAGGGAATGAGGGGGACAGTTAACAGTAAGCCTGTGGCTCACTCCTACAGCTTAAGGGATTCTCTGCATGAAAGCAGGCCTCCTTGCAAACGCACTAAAGGATTTTAATAGATAAGACAGAGTCTCTTATTTGTCTCTGATTTTGAAATGTCAGGATATATCTGGTCTATCTTAATTGTTTTTTGTAAATAATCTGAGAATTTAAGGATTTATGGGGCACGGCTGGCTGGAAAACAGGAGATAATCACGGACATTTCCTATTTGCGTAACTAATGGGGTACAGAACCAGAGATCCGCAAGACAGAAAAGGCTTCCTTTAGGAAAAATGTTCCTGTATATATTACTCAGACTTTGTCTGTTAATCCAAAACAAAAAAATGTGTCCTGAGGTTGAATTTTACTTCTGTAAACAAATTAAGAACTGCAGTAGAAGTCTGTCATATGATTTCATACCAATCCATAGACAAGTATTTCAAGCATGTTGATAACATGTCCTAATGTAGAAGAAAGTGACATTCTGTGGAACCTGTGCCTGTTAGCTGGGGGCTCCTCCCAGGAGGAATGCTCCTCTGTGTCTGCCTCCTGCCTGTAGCCTCTGAAGCACAAGTAAGGCTGGAGGTGGGTAATATTTCACATTCATGTGAGTATGCTTTAACAATCCAACCCTTTGTGTTAACACAGGGAAGTTATCCAATATACACAACGGAATGGGGAAAACGAGTTTCAGAATATGTGCATCGTTTTTACATTTTTGTAAGAAAAAAGTGTGTGCATAGGTTTCTAGAAGAAGATTTAGAAAGATAGTCAATTTAGTCACAGTGATTACTTCTAGGAAGTAGAAGGATGGAGAGATTTAAAAATTAGACTTTTTACTTTACAGATTTCAGTGCTGTTTGAATTTTATTTAAACAGCATGTATTAATTTTGTAATTAAAAAAATAGTAAAAGTGACCAAAAAATGAGTGCTAAGATGGCCTAATGAGAAAGCAATACAGATAAGATACAGAGGAAGACAATAACAACACAATGGGATAATTATACTGTAAGGCATATACACGCAATAGCAGAAGTGCGTACCACGTACTAAGAGAAATCATAAAGGGAAAGTGACTGACCCTGTCTCAAAAGTTTGGGAACACTGGAATGAATATACATCAGAAACCTCCCTCATTATAAAAGAAAAAGAATGGGGTAAAAAAGTAAAAGTGGATTGACCATTAGTCCTCATTTGCTCAAGACGGCCTCAAGCCTCAGTCTACCTAGCATCATCATTATTAACAATGCTCCAGTTCACTCTAAAAAGTGTCCTGGTTTAAATGACATTTGGGCTACCCTCGCTCAGTGTTTCCCAAACTTTAGCATGCATCAGAACCACCTGTAGGGCCTATTAAAACACAAATTGCAAGCCCTGTCTGCCCCCAGTTTCTGATTCAGTAGCTCTGGGGAGGGCCCCAAGAATCTGCATTTCTAACAAGTTCCCCTGTGACCCTGATGCTGCTAGCCCAGAGACAACTGAAGAACCATCGCATACAGGTGTACAAGGACATGACTTTCTGCGATAATATGACCTAATAGAAGGTTTCCAGAAGTAGCAGAAAGGGGAAAAAAAGAAGTTTAGATCATTGTTACTGCAAGTGTAGACTGCGAATTAATGCTTGGCCCACAAAGAGATAAGTACCAAAATTAGGAATAAGCATTTAGAAACCTTCCTGCAATATGGTAAAGTATGTCTATTACATTTAATAATAAAAAACTTGACCTTATATTTTGTACATGTTTTTTAAATTTCATTT